CTGTGCTCAGCATTTGCTGGGCTTTTTATAGGTATGCTTTCTCTTCATCATAATGATGGTGCAGCACTGTAGATGAGCAAACTGGTCGTCAGCTGTTGGGTGCTGCAGCTGGGCTCTGGACATTGATTGGTCAGAATGCAGAGCCTAAGTTCTTTTGACCCACCCTGGGTCCTCAGTTCAAGCCACCTTCCACATCTCTGCCCAAGTCAGCTTTCTAAAACAAATGTGTTTATATCACTCTCCTTTAAAAAACTCTTTATGCCTCTTCAGTGCCTTCAGAATAAACTCCTAAGCTCAGAAATAAGACCCTCTCAGCCCGACCAACCCCATCCACCTCTTTGGCAACTCCTACATCCCCCCCAGGCCTCGGCTGTGCCGGACTCAGGCTGTTGCCCAGACACATACTCGGGTGCTCAGCTGGTCTTCCTCCCACAGCCCAAGTCTGCCTGACCCTAAAGGCTCATTGGCCAGCTTTGGGGTCACGGGAAGCCTGTTTCAGAGCATGCCCCAGTTTCTTCTCTTTCCTCAAATTAGCACTTGAAAAATTGCTAATGTAGCACTTTCCGGTTGTGTTTGTATTTCTGGTTACTGTCTGCAACTTGGCTCATTTTTTCTAATGTCTGAACTTCTGTGAGCCTCTTCAGTCAGAGACCTTGCCTTTTCACCCTTTTTATTCGTGCTCAGGGCCCGGCATACAGAAAGTGCTCAGTAAGCAAATTGATTTTGTCATCTAAGGCAGTACTCAGCAGCTAACTTACAGAATTCAGCCTTTCTAAGTGAAGAGCCCTATATGAGGTGCTGAGAAAAAATATGGAGGAAAGGAGACAAACATATGACTGAACACAGACACACATGTTCTCACGAGAAAGTTCTAAATGCTTGAATTACACCTAGCAAGTAGCTCTCAGTGTGAACATTACTCCAATGCACACGTCATGTTTTGAAGTATAAGAAGAAACACTTCATCCCAGGAGGCTTCCCACAGGAGTTGAGTTTGAGCTGGTAGCAGAAGAGCAGACCCCGTAAAGGAGATTGTTTGAACAGAGGCTGAGAAAAGGAATGAGCATACAGGGGGGCGGGGGAGGACCAGGAGGTAGCCTTGTGAGTTGGGAGCCGTGGGGGTCAGGGCCAAGGAGAGGCTGAGAGACATCACCCGGGGAGCTGTGGGAGGGCAGGAGGGGGAAGCTCATGCCCCACTGATGAGTTTCTGCTTTTTGGGTTGTAGAAGAGTATCGGCTTCCTCGAAAACACATCCAAGGCCTAGAAAAAGCCCCCAAACCTGCCAAGAAGAAGTGACAGACTCTCGTTCATTCAGTCAAGCCGGTGGAAATCCAAGCTCTGGGCTGGTCATTTATAGGAGCATTTTCAGCTTTTGCAAATAAGAAATATATAATTCTTTACCAAAATAAATTTTTATTCTAATCTAAATCTGATTTCCCTCATTTCCTCCACTTAGCTAAAATGTACTGAATGTTCAAGTCAGAAGCCATTTTAAACCGACCGAAGAGGCTGTCGCGGCATGCCTCCTTCATTCTTGTGGTGTCAGTGTTTTTAGTTCCTCCCGGATTTCAGGGCCAGACAGCCCATCCGAAGTTCAGGCAGGTGGGGCTTCCTGTTATTTCGAAGTCCCTCTGCCAGTAGTCCACAGCCTCTTGCTCCTCTGTTCCTACTACGTGGTCAACCTCCTAGGAATGAGCATACAGGTCAACCAAGTAGATCCTTCCCATCTCTAAAGGGTTATTCACGCAGAGAGCAGAACCCAGCGGCTGTCGTCAGTCGAGGCAAAAGCTGCAAGGATTGGCCCCAAACTGCAGCAACACAACCTAGACAGACATTGGAGAGAATAACAACGTGAGGACTCGGGTTTCCGCACAGTGACCCTTCCTCGTCACCAGCACGCTGCCACAGCAGTGGTATATGCTGTGACGTGGCTTCAAGACGATGGCTTCCTCACAGTGAAGGCTTATCCACAAATGCATTCTATAGCCCTAGACTTCCTAACCTTGGTAATGGGGCTCATGGAAGGGGTCTTTGATGGTTTTCAGAGGGTGCACGAACTCCCTAGTGTGGTACACAAGATTTTATTTGATGATTTTCCCAAGAGAGGTTACCAGGCCTTCATCCAATTCCCGCTGGGGTCACTTGCTGCCCAGAAGGTTCAGAGCCGCTGCTCTGGGCCCTGCTCAGGCCCCGGAAGTCAATTCTGTGACCGGAGCTCTCCTTGTGCAACAGGAAGGAGTGAGGGCTGAGCCGATCCCCTTTGGAGTTCTCGGTTTTACCATCACAAACAATTACACTTCCATTTACTTATTTTTTTCTTTCTCATCTCACTTACTGAAAGAAACTGAGATAAAAAAGACTTGAAAACATTGACAGTGTATTTACACATTATCCATCTGGGCTCGAAAAGAAGGGGATGGGCATGAAACCGTGCGACGCCTCCTACCTTTTGCCGTTAGGTCCAGAATGACAGGCCTCTGCACTGCGACCGTGGACAGACTTCGTCTGACTGGTCCCATCTCGCCGACCTGCGCATGTGGGACTGAGGGGCTTCTAGAAGTTGACCCCAGACGAGACCACATCACAACAACATTTGGGCAGTTCGGTCTGAGGGTGCACAGCGTGTAGAGCAGTGATGAAATGCGGTCCTTATGTGATTGCAAGTAACACGCACTGCTTTACAAAGGTCTTTCACAGACACAGTTTGTTTTGCACAATCTTGGAGGGATTGGAGGCACAGAGAAGCTGTGTGTTGCCTTGTTAATTCCTGCTACCGTCACATAGCCAGTAAATGGTGGACTGAGTCTTACATGAACATCCACTTAGCTGTGGCTTAACTCAGATTCTGCTATGACACAGTGCTGTCAAGACCTGTGCTTCACGTGGTTCCCCCAGTGATGGATACGCCTTTGCGACGAGTCGTCCTCCCTCTCCTCCTTGCGACCACAAAGGTACAGGTAAGGAGGCAGGGGAGAGTTAGGCTGTATGATGGACTCTTTTTTTCTATGTGCTAAACCAAATAGTCTCTATCACAGCCAAACTTTTGAACTTGGAACTCAATCCCATGTTGTAACCCAATGAGTTTCAGTGAAAAACAGAAACCGGTTCATTTCTAGGTTTTGGCATATTTATTCAAAGACAGGCTTCTTGGAACTCCGGGAGGTGAACAAGTGTTACAGCTGTGCCCCATTCTGGATAATTTCAGGAATGTGTATAGGACGTTCTCTCCTGCAGGGAGGTAGGGAGTGAACTGAATGAGCACCAAAGAGCCCCTGCAGCCCAAGGTCCCCCGTTCACTGCATTATGTGTGGTCAGTACTGGGGGGCAGGCGAGAACAACTTCTGAGTAACTTTTACATGGTTATTTCCATGGTTACCAAGATGTTCCTGTCACGGAAGTGAGATAATGCTAAAGTGACGGGCTAAAGGGACTGTTTTCGTCACCTCGTCTCGCTCTCTTCCTCCAGGTGATACAATCTTAAACTTTCAATCATATTCCTATTTTATTTTTAAACACAGGCATGCCTTGGAGACAGTTCAGGCTTGGTTCTAGACCACTCTAATGAAGCACGTACTGCAATAGAGTGAATTGTAATCTTGTTGGCAGAGGATTTTGCCTTCAATTTCTAAAAAAGACAACATCTGTGAAACAATAAATCTAGGTAAGAAATAAAAGGCACACGCCTGGCCAACAGACATGTGAAAAGATGCTCAACATCAGAGAAATGCAAGTCAAAACAACAATGAGGTTGCACCTCACACCTGTCAGAATGGCTTCTATCTAAAAGTCAGCAGCCCTGGCTGGTGCGGACCCATGGGCTGGGCTGCAAACCTAGAGGTCGCCAGTTTGATTCCTGGTCCGGGCACAGGCTTGGGTTGCAGGCCAGGTCTGCAGTCCGGGGTTAGCCTCATGCATTGTTGGTGGGAGTGTAGATTGGTGCAACTAACCCGTACTGTTCTCCCAAACAGTATGGATTTTTCTCAGAAAACTAAGAAAAGGACTATTGTAAGACCCAGCCATCCCACTTCCAGGTATTTAGCTGAAGAAAACAAAAACACTAGCTGAAAAGACATCCACACCCCTGCATTTGCTGCGGCACTATTCACACTAACCAAGATGTGGAAGCACCTAGGTGTCCGTCAACAGACAAGTGGATAAAGAAGATGTGATATAATACAATTAAATAGTAGCCACAAAAAAGAACAAACTCTTGCCATTCATGACAACATGAATGGACCTAGACGGTATCATGCTAACTCAAATCAGTCAAAGACAAATACTGTAGATGTACATAAATGTGAAATCTTAAAGGAAGAAAAAAGTACAAACAAAGCAGAAACAGACACATAGATAGAGCAAACTAATGGCCACCTGAGGGAAGGGGGTGGTGCATGGACGAAAAGGCGAAGTGCAGTGGCTTACAAACTTCCAGTTGTAAAACAGGCAATTCATGGGGCTGTAGCGTACAGCACAGGGACTACAGAAAATAGCATCGTGATGATTTGGGGTGGTTACAGATGGTTACTAGACTTACTGTGTCACTCCGTAAAGCATATGAATGTCAAATCTCTGTGCTGTACGTCTGAAGCTAATATGTTGTGTGTCAACTATGCTTGAATTAAAAAAAAAAAAAAAAGAACGAACTGGAAGCAGAAGAAAGGAAGAGAAGAATCCCTGCTTACCTCAGTAGCCTGTCACGAGTTGGATCATCCTTAGCTCCAGAAAGCCCCACCTTTCTTCCGACTCAGCGTCTTTCTGTAATGAGCCCCCTTTCCTCACCTGCTCAGGGGGACTGCAGACCAGCTGGCCACCTAGGCAGCACCCTCCGGCCCACATGTTTGGACAGTTTTCTCAAGATTATTTAAATGGTAGCTTTTGTGCCATTTGCTGGCCAAAGAAAACTCTGCTGAGGGGCATGTGCTCATCTCAGTGCCCACCCTCCATCCAGGCTCCCAAGACCACGCGAGAGTGAAGTTCAAGGAAAGGGTCTCCAGTCGGAGTCATTTCTGCAACAAGCTTTTATTACCTTTTTTTAAACCCACGTAAGACACTGAAAGAGGAAATACCCTCAAAACAAACACACACGGGACAAGAGGACGATAGAAGGCACTGCCAACAGCCTCACCCACCTCTGGGAAGGCAGGGGTCCTGGACCCACAGTTTCCAGAGGCTTGGACCTCAGGCCCAGTCCTGGGTCTAACTGCGCTTTGCATAAAGTCTGTGTTTTCCCGTAATTTTCTTATTTCATAAACACCTCTATCTCTTTTATATATAGTTATACATCTTTGTGGAATATATATGTACATGACTTTTTTCCTTCTCAAAAATAAAATAGCCACCCCCGTCAGAAGGAGGTTCACAGCAGCATTCACAGCAGTGGCAGCGGGAGCTGAGCCTTCTATCACTGGGAAAGACATGCAGCGTGGGGGCGGGGCGGGGGGGGGCGGGAGGAGGACTCTGCCTGCTCCCTTTAACATTCGCCAGGGAGGGGGAGTCTAAGGGAGGGAAGTGATGAGGCTGAGCACGAGAAGGCCGACCACCGGGGTTTTGTGGCTGGAACAGCCTTCCCAGACTTCGAGCCTGTTCTGCCTTTGCTGTATGAAGACATGCACGGTTTGCAGGGAGAAGGCCAGTGTTCCTTCTTCGATCAGGGCCAGGGCGCGGGCTCCGCAGGTGCCTGGGAGGGGGCTTCTGAGGCTACACGAAGATACTTAGGCCTGGACCAACCCAAGAGGAACTGGGGAAGGCAGAGGGCATAGGAGAAATGGTCTCTCGGAGGCTGGATTGAAAAACCTGCCCTGCTTTAAAAGTTAAAAGTCTTTCTACCTTGGCACTGAAGTGTCTTTGCAGTCTGGTGACTTGGTTGAGTTGTTTGGCTAGTTTACTTTTTAAGTTTGGAGCAGAACAAGCAACCAGGACAAATGGAGAGTCAGGAATCTGATCCATCCTATTAATGTGGTCTGACATTGTGTATGGGAATCGAAGCCCAGGCCCCTCCATGGGAGGAAGGTTTGACCCTGGCCCCACACTTAGAGGGAGGGCTCTCCAGGCCCGGCTCCCGCACCACAGCAGTTCACTGCCCGGCAGCAACACACCAGCGGCAAAGCTTCAGCAAACTTGCCCTGCTTCTGTCTCTCTGGAAACAAAAAGGCACTGAGGTCCGGAGGAGGTCAGCAGAGAGGCCAGCCCCACAGCCCACTGAGCACAGTGCCCCGGGCTGGTCCATGCTTCAGAACACAAAGGACTCCAAGATGGCAGAGTTGGAGGTTCCCCCTCTGTGGTCGAGGCAGCTGCTCTGGCAGCACCTGGAGGCTCCACTGGCCGCTGGAGGAGAGACGGAGCTGGAGGCCGGGGAAACTGTGGCAGGCGAGCCCTCCCCGGCACTGGCTGGGGGAAGGCTGGAAACGGCTTGGACACAGTTCTCGGCAAAGCTGTTTGGTTTTCTCTGCCTGCCTGATTTCCATACTCACAGGAGACTTTGAAAATGGTAAATAGCTGGTTTCCTTTTAGTGGAAACTCGAGGATGATGGCAGTATTAAATAAAGTTGTAACCTAAGAACAGACAGTTGTTGACAAAGATGCGGTGAAGCACTACACACATGCCTCTGGGCTCCTGTGTGCACGGCCTGGGGCGACGAGGGCCAGGCCCAGGCTGCAGCTTCTCTGCAAGTCTCTGAGCTGAGCCCAGCTCTGCGCTCCTGCCTGAGCGCCAGGGGCCAGCGGGGCACAGCCCTTTACAGCATTACCCTGCTTTCAGCAGCTTAGCTCAGACCGGCTGAAGGAATGTGCTACCACTTTCAAATCATAAATAAAGGTGCCGTAGGTGGCAAGTAAAGGAGAAATTGAAGAATAAAAGCCAGAGAAAGAACGTACGTCTCTAATCCATTTTTCCCTTCCTTTGCTGGCTGGTGTGAATTTTCCAATTTGGTGACAAGAGGGCAACTTTTTGGTTTGTGAAAGGCTTGCAGACAGCAAGGTCGTTCTTCGCAGGAGTGCTGCTTGGCAGGCTGCGGACGGGCCGTGCGTGGAGGCGGGCAGGACCGGCCCTGCGCACCTGTGCGCCCCTCAGAGACTGCCGCGTCTGGGCCTGCTGGGCGAGCACCAGCGCATCCGCCACAGGTGTCCTGAGAAAACGTGTCTGTTGCAAAATAATAATTAATAATAAAAACCAAATCCGTGGGCACTGGGAGCAGAGGAAGCAGGGCTGGTTAGCCAGGTTTGCCCTGGGACTCTCTCAAGGCCTCCTCCAGTTTCTGCCTGAACTTGTTGTACTTCTTCTGCACTTGTTGGATTTTGTCCTGCTCTTCTTTCTCCAGGATTGTTAGGAAGTTCTGGAGCTCGGGGATGGAGAAGGCATCCCACTGTGAAGCAAGGTGGAGACGCAGTGAGAAATAGAACAGGAGATGGGTTAGAAGTCCCCAGACCTGAGGGACTCTGCTGCCTTCGTGGCCACACAGCACACGGTCTGCTGCTGGACGGGCGGGGGCAATGACTAAAGCATGGGTTTTCCACGTCATGTTAGCAGCCAAGTGTCAAATCCTGGTAGCTTATGACCAAGAGTTACTAGTCCACGAGCCACCTGTCCATGTTGTTAATCAATAACCTTAAGTGCTCTCTGCAGCAGCTGAGATCTGAAGAGGGATGCTTCCAACACGCAGACCCTCAGAATGTGGAGGAGAGCTCAGACTCGGGAGGCTGGGTTTCAGCCCGAGTGCACCCTGTGACCTTGAGCTCACCACCCTTCACAGCCTGTTTTCTCACCTGCCATGAAATGAAGGGGTCGACCGTGGCCAGCAGAGCAGATAATGAGGTAGCCTCGCTGGCCCAGGCCTGCCTGACGGGACCTGGCCTCCCGGGTGACCCAGGAGCTGGGCCTCTAGGGGCCATGGGTTTTGACTCCTAAATTCTTTGAGCACAAAGGAGTAGTAAGGTTTACGTGGTCTCCTCCCCACATTGCACAAACGAGAAAACCAGCTTCCACAGAGGGAAAGCAGTGTAACCATGGTCACCAAGCCTGTGGCAACGGCGCTAGAGTCAGAACCCAGATCTCTCAATTCCCAGGCCTGTGAGCTTTCCTCTGGGCCAGCAGGGTTCACACATTTTCAGAAGAAAACTTTTCCAAACAACCACAACTGCCTGGCTGAAGTGAAGCGAAGGGACAGGGTCCCACTTGCCTAGACCCCTCAAATGTCCAAAGCGACCTGCCAGACTGCCCTCCCGGACCTTAGGCCTCCGCTGAACACTGCGTGACGAACACCCCGAGAACTTCCCTGCCCTTGGACTCTTGAGTCCACCTTCGAAGCATCTCAGGCCACTGGGGGCGCCCGTCTGCTTTGGTCCCAGTTAACACCACCAAACCGGACAGCTCCCCTTGGGGGAGTGTTGTCAATTGTTAAGAACCAGGCAGAGACAAAAGGCTCAAAACCATCTATGCCCAGTAGAGCCCACCAATGACACTGGCTGGGACCTCAGGCCACCCTGAAGCTAAAGAACCTGGGCTGCCCAAGCCGTGTTTGCCAGTACCCTTCCGTCCTGGGTTTTTCAAAATAAAGCACATGGAACCCTGTCTGTCCACAGACCTTGCCAGAGCCAGGCCCCGACTTGCCACCCCAGGGAGCCGACAGTGTGGTTGACACTCTGAACCTGGGCCGGCACTCGCCCCAGCTCAACTTCCACAAGTCACTCTCCTGCTGCTCTTGCACTGGGCAGAGAGGACAGCGCCCACCTGCAGCCACCCACTGTGCCCCACCGGCCACGTTGGTGTGGCAGCCCAGGGCCCCAGGCCTACCTCCACCTCGCCAGTCTCGTTCTCCTTTAGCACAAAGCTGAGGACGTCGGTGTTGGGCCCAGCGAGTAAGCGCAGGTAGAGGGGGCAGTCAGTGACCGAGAGCTTCTGGAAAAGCACTGCAAACCAAGAGAGGGGGCTAGGAGCTCGCCTGGGGAGACGGGCCGGCCCTGCGTGGGTGGGGCAGACTGGGCAGAGGTGGGGCAGTTATAGCTCTGGGCAGAGGCATCCTTCCACCCCAAGGGGATGAACCTGACAGGAATAAATAGGGGATCCGCCTTATCTCTGGTGACTGCTCAGAGCTGACACGTTTCCATTCGCGTCACCTGTCAAAGATGAGGAGCAGTGGGGCCCATCTCTCAATCCGCAGGCTGGGAAGTGGGAGCCCTGGGTGTGGCTTTCCTGAAGTCACACCCGGAGTGAGGGGCACAGTGAGCAGCACGAGATCCCACCTGGCTCTCAGTCCAGCGTGTGTGTGTGTGTGCGTGCGTGGCCTTCCACAGATCTGACACCACGCAGATGGCCTCACTGTGGTCCCCAGGGAGGGCCACCCTTCCCCCAGCCCGGTGGGTTGTGGGGGCAGAGGCAGAAGGGGAAGGTGGTGTCCGGGGGAGCTCGCACTCTAGTACCTTGTCCATCCTTGTGTATCCGCTTAAAAAGTGCAAACTTCTGGGGATTGTCTACAACCATGAACTTCTTGAGCAGCCCCTGGATGACCTCGCTGACCGTGGTGGTGCTGCTGATATGTAGTTGCTTGATGGCATCGAGCGGCAGGTAGAAGGACGTCCGCTTGTCCGTGGTGGCTGCCAGGTTCACGTCCTTGATGGCGTCATAGATGGACTGGGGCCGGATCCCGGCAGGTACGGTCACGGGCCGCCGGAGTTTCAAATGCACTTTGATGAAGCCCGTGTAGGTGCCGTCTTCACTCTGCCAGTGGGGAGGGGCCATGAGGGTCAGGCCAGGTCTGTCCTGCAAATCCCACTTGCCACTGGGGCAACTGCCTCAAGTTGCACGGACTGCAGAGGCCTTTCCTAGTAACCGTGCCGTCCTGGGCAGCCTCCCACCGATTCCCTGACTGCCTTCCTGCCTCGGTTGACCTAGGGGTGCCCAGTGGGCTCTGAGGAGGCCCACAGCATTGGCTACCAGAGAGGATACTTGGGGCTGCTGTGGCCTTTCCCCCAAAAAGACTCCAGCTGCCTGCCCAGAATCTGCCACCAGACAGATGCTCATCGACTTAGGTGAGCCCCCACTTTCAGGGGCAAGCTCTGGAGTGGCCTTTTTCCCAAAACCCCCAGCCTGCAAGACTCACATTGGTGACTGCACCTAGCTGAAGCCCCAAAGAGCCAGTTGCTGCCAGCCACCAGCAGGGGGCAGGGCTCTCCTACTTTCCCCACCTCTCAGCTGCCTACTGAAGATGGCCTTTCTGAACTTGTCCAGGGCTTCCTGGCGGCCAAGTGGTGCTGGGCCCTTGGTCATTGTACAGCATTTAATTCCCCAAAGGGCACTGATATCTCCATTTTACCATGAAACCCAGAGAAGTTAAGAAAACTCCCCAAAGTCACAAGTGAAAAAGTGGAAGAGCCAGAGGCTGGATCTGCATCTTACTCTAAAGCCCATTCTATTTCTCTGAAGTCGAGGCCCTGACAGCCAGGCTACCGGCCCCCCACAATCCCCAAGGCCCCCAGAGTCCAGAAAAAAGGGGCCGTCCAGGTGGGTAGCCCCAGAATCCAGAGGGGCTGCAGAGGAGCCCCATGGGAAAGAGACACGGAGCGGGTGGGGTGTGAGGAGGCGGGAAGGGGGGACGCGGGTGGGCAGGCCCACTCACCAACTTCATGCCCAGGCAGTTCTTCTCGAGGCTGTTGTAGCTGGCGATCTTCTGCTTGATCTCCTGCAGCGTGGGCGGGCTCCGAGGCTCCTCGGCAGGTCTGCAGGCATTCTGGTACAGACACAGACGTGAGGGTGGGCGTACAATGGTGCCCGGGATTCCAAGGGGAGCGGCCACACCCTCCCAGAGGCCTCGGACCCAGAAGTGAGCGGCAGCCCCACGCAGAGGCCAGGAATGGCAGGAGGCATCTATGTGCCAGACCTGGAGCCGTCACCGTCACTGACTGAGGTTTCCACTGCAGGTGCAGGAATAAAGGTCCTCGCCCTGCGTCTGTCTGACTGCGGCAGCCCAGGCTGAGTGGGGAGTACGGGAAAAACAACGGAGGGAGTTTCTACAACTCACAGAGAACCTTGTGAAGAGCCCGTTTTACTCCAAAGAAGAATCTAAATATGAGTTTATAAGAGAAGTAATGAAAAGATTACTCCCCTACACCCTTGCCCTCTGATTGATTCCACTTTTAAAAACTTAAGGGTTAAAATTAATTAAAGCCATGCCAGTCGGACTTAAAAAATATAGCATGGATTCAGGGTGGGAACAGAGGTCCAATCCTGGCTGGGCCACTGTCTGCTCATCTGTGAAATGGGAGCAATGCCACCCCCCAGGCTTGTGGTGAGAACAGAGTGAAAGTGCCCAGGCCACAGGTACTGATAATGAACCTGGCAGATCAGCAGACCTGCATTGGCTGACCAAGGGTTGCTGTGGAGATGTTTCCAGGTGCTGCAGGAGATGCAGAGAAACGCAAGCCACGACCCATCTCGGGGAAGTAACAAGAGAGGTGGGGTGACAGTGAGGTGAGCAATGCCAGCATATGAAGGACAGTAGCTCTCCGAGACCCAGAGGTCCAAGGGCACAGGGCCATCAGTTCAGGCCCCACATCATAGGAAGAAGTAAACATATTGGACAAGTGACTGCATGACATGGTGGGAGCAGGGGCTGCAGACCTCTACAGTAACTGAGGGGCAAACCTCCTCTTTGGGGCCCAGGGACACCCACACCTACTCAGTGCCCCTCTGTGCGTGCACTTGGTGTGCACTATCTCATTCAGTCCCCATGAACCAAAACTCCGCTAGTCAGCTGATCGTCCCATCTGACAGCAGACAGCTGAGACTCGGAGTCTGGTAACTTGCCTAAAGCCCCGCAGTCGGCGTGTGCAGAACTAAAGGAAAATTCCAGCTCTGCTCCTCTGTGTTCTTCCTAAGACATTACGATTTATTCTTCTTGTCACTTCCCTGCCCTCACCCCACTGGGGAAAATAAAGGAAGAATAGAGCCAAGGAGATGGAAGTCAATGCTCTTCACACTGTGGAGGGGGACCAGGGGTGAATTCTGGGGTCCAAGCCACTCTGTCCCTCAGTCAATCCCCTGGATTTCTCTCAAGTTCATTGTTACCTGCCGTCCGGGTTTCATCTCCATGTGGTCTGAGTGTGGCTGGGAGTACAGGAGCCACAGTTCAGGGTAATAAATGAATAAATAGGTTGTTTGGTCAAAAGTCACCCAGAATCTGCCTGATCTTAGAAATCTACCCGATTCAGGAGGGTCAGCATTCTCATTTGGCACAGAGGAAACTGAGGCCAAGAGGAGCTGGCGACTGTGTTCTCTGGGCTGCCTGCCTAACACCACGCAACCCCATCCAGTGGGCGTCTGGTCCAGTTGGGGAATTCGCAGCCACCAGCCATCGCATCAACACCCAGTTGAACGTAATGACACCCACAGCAGGGCCTGGCCTTGCTCACTTCAGCAAGCAGGCTCGTGGGAGACACCTCACAGTCAGCAGCATGCCATTACTTCCTCCTCTCACTTTCCAGTCCCACGGAGCCGATAAAATGTCAAGCTCTGTGGCCACCAAGGAGCACTGGTGTGGTGTCCCAGCCCTCAGCGTGGAGGTGAGTTGACGTCCCTTCTCTGTGACAGCATCTTCCCTTGGCCTGTCCTTCCCTCTTTGTTCCCCCTCAGGGTCCCAACAGTAGCAGTCCTGTGCTATGTGCTTTCACGTGCCTTGTCTTACACACTACTTATTTCTTCCCTATCTTACAGGTTACCAAACTGAGGCTCAGAGAGGTTAAGAAACGTGCCTGACTTTCTTAGGTTCTACTGCTAGTAAGTGGCTGAGTAGGGCCTAGAACCAAGTCCACCCAAGTTTGGGACCTACGTAGCCTCCCTAGGTCGGCCTCTCCTGCCAAAGGGGCACCATAATGATCACCAAAGTCCCAGGCCACAGCGTGGGGTGAGCAGCTGCTAAACCAAGGCCCATACGTAACCTGCCCTGTGAAACCTGCATCCAAGGTGGGCTGGACCAGTGGGTCTGGCCCAGAGGCCTCAGGCCCCAGAGCGCCAGGCCTCCTGAGAAGATGGCAAGAAGAAACTCCCACCCTCTGGGGCGAGATGCAGCTGCCAGGGTGTAGGGCCCACCCTTTTCCTATGTGGCCACTCAGGTCCCTGGAACTGGAACTTGATTCCCTGGGAGACCAGCCAAGGGAAGCGCTCCACAGGGTATCTCCTGTTTGCCTGAGGTGGGCAGCACCCACTTAATTTGCTGTCAGTCCTTTAATCCAGGGGCCTTCAAAATGGAGCTTCTCATGCCTTCCCTGGGCGCAGCTCTGTGGGACCTGGCCTGACCCTGCCTGCCCCCGGGAGCTTCCCGTCAGAAAGACCGATGTCCCCTTACTGTTACGCACTTGATTCCTTCTGTCTCTGAAGCGGCAGGCTATTTCTCCTCAAGAGTAAATAGGTTTCTCATACTTATCTACATAAAAGAGTTACATGATGGAGCCCTGACCAGTGTGACTCAGTGGGTTGGGTGTTGTACCACGAAGTGAAAGGTCGCCAGTTCGATTCCTAGTCAGGGCACGTGCCTGGGTCGCAGGTTTGGTTCCGATCAGGGCACATACAAGAGGCAACTGTAGATGTTCCTTGCCTGCTCTGTCTTCCTCCCTTCCCTTCTCTAAAACTAAATAAATAAAGTTCTAAAAAGTTCTAACTGATGGAAAGAAAACTCTAGAAGCTCTAGAAGATCTCTCATGGTTTCCGAATGAACTACAACCACTGCTCCCTGCATCCTGGCTTTCAAAGGCCGGTGGCTCTAGGCCTGGTTCTGAACACAGCAAGAGCCAGGACTGGCTTAACCCACAGCCTCTTCCTCTTCCTCTTCCTGTTCCCCTTTCCAGCAGAGCACCCTCCTCTCCTACCCTGTTCCCACCACAAACCAGGGGAGTGACACCGGCACCGCCTCCAGGACTGACTGAGGCAGGAGACAGCAGTCCCGCCCTCACCGCCTCGCCTGGGAGTGCCAGGAGCCCCGTGTGGCCAAGACATGAAACCTCACAGCCCGGGATGTCAGCACGGGGGCTGGGCTGGCTGCCGCCACACCAGATCTGACAGGCGAGGTCTGACCCGTGGACTGAATGAATCGCCTTTCTAACAGGCTGGCCAGTCAGCCAGCCACAGCACGGGGCCCACTAACCCTTTCCCACACAAGGGATGGTATGGAGTCTAGAGCAGTGATTCTTAAATGTGGCTGCCTACACAGTCCCCTGGGGGGAGAGGTCTTCAAAAGCACAGTGCCTGAGCTCTGTGCTGGACATTTCACCGGTCTGGGGCATACCCTGGGCACAGCACCTTAAAAAAATCTCCCAGGTGGTTCTGATGTGCAGCAGTGTTTGAGAACTGGTGTAGACGCCCTGCAGGCAGCTCCTGAGCTCCAGGCCCCCATACTGAAGAGGCCTGCAGCTGCCCCATGCCCCAAGGGCTGACCGAAAAGGAGGCGTCTGCTGTGTGGACAAAAGCAACAACACAGTAACCTGCAGATACCCTGGGGCCACGAGTTTCTACTCACCTACCCGATTCTTGAGCCCTCAGAATGAAAGATCTGTTCCTGTCCATGGGCACAGAGGTAGGAAGCAGGCAGAGAGAGTTTTGGTCCCTGGGGTGGCCCCAGACAGAGACGGAATGGGGAACTCACTCTGTTATGATTTAACAAACACGGTCTTTGGCCTGTGAGGTGTCTCTGAGGGTTTACACATCTCTGTGCACCTGGCATAGAATTCATCTGCACTGACTGAGCCCAGGCACTGGGAACAGGTGGTTTAGCCTTTCCCAATGCACCCGGCACGTCCACGGTGCCGGGAGAAGACGTCCTAAACTATGGAAAGGGCTGTGGCCTCGCTTAGCCCTCGAGGCTACTGGGGCTGGGGACTAGGAGTTAGAGGCGCCCCCTGAGAGAGTGGTCCTTAAATTTTTCTATTAAAATACCCTTAACAGAAAATAAAAGGTACCATCCCCTGGCAGTCTGGGGCCTGTCTCCAAGCAGACGCCCCATAAGTTGAATTTTACTTTATTTTTAGAAGAATGCAAACAAACACAGGCTAATTATGCATTCTAATCAAATGACATGTGAAAAGTCTTAAGCTGAGGGGACCCCGTGGCTTTGAGTCTCCCCGGGCTTGCACGAGGCAGCCCATGAAAGCCCTGGCAAGGGGCCCCGGGTGTGGAGCTGGCGGGGGAGACGCACCGTCCGGTGCGGGAGCCCTCTGGCACATGTGTGCCCGATTTCCCTGGACTGGGATCACACAAGCCCCATTTTTGCCAAAAATGTCTCTCTCCCTGTATTTGAACTCGTCAGCCCCCTTTTTTCCTGCTTTTAAAATATCGCTTCTGTGTGCTCATCTCCAGTCCCTTCGTCTCTCAAGGGTTCTCTGATCACCCCAGTCCTGAATGATGACAATGGTCACCCTTAGTGTTATTTACTATGTACCAGGCACTCATGAATGTACCATTATCATGCCCATTTCACAGATGCAAAAACGGAGCCCCAGCGAGGTTAAAACTGACCTACATCTAAAGCTGGCACTTAAACATGCATCTATTTACATTAACTTCAAAGTACACCATCCATCTTGGTTTTTCTTCCCAACTAGACTGAAACTCGTTAACAACTCACACCATACTTCTGTTTCTGTTCTATGCCTGTGGCACTAAGTATTAAACAAATAATAAATACCCCCCCCAAAGAACTTCCACAGTCCCCCATTGGCTAGAGGGGACAACAGACACTGC